CAGCAATCGGTACTAGACTGAAGCAATAATTATTATAGACACTAGACCTACACGTTAACTGACAGTTATCTCACTGTTACTCGTTACTTGTTTTTGTTTATTTTATTTTCTAATTCTATTGATAGATTTCTACAAAACCATCGATCAGGGACGGATACAAAAATAAATTTTTTTTGTACATATACTTGCTGTTCATTAAAAAAAACACGATTTACGCCTTAAATATAGTCAATTGAATATTTTTTAAGAGAGTAGTAAATACAGTGGCGAGACACCAATCTTTAGGTCAGGGAGATGTTGCAAAAAAAATGATAATTAGTTATAATAAAATTTAAAAAAATCAACAGAACATTATACAGTTAAAATAATAAGTAAAAAGCTGAAAGCTTCAAAATTACAAAATATAAATAGAAATTAATTATATGTATAATAGCGCTGATAATTAAATATTCAATTTTATATATATTCTCATATTTCTCGGTAGATATATTAACAACAATTTTGAAATCAAAATCAAAATTTGTATAAAATAAAATATCAACAGTACCAAATAGGAAGCAGAGTTGTGCATTATTCGAATAAAAAGTTATCTAAATAATCATCTAGGTAATAAATTATTTGGGGGAAAATTATTCGAATAATATTCACACATAACATTTAAATAATTTTCAAGTGCGGCTTTAAATTAATTTTTGTATAAATAATAATAAACATATAAAAAAACAATTAAATATGACTTATGACTATTAAATTATGCTAAAATATTATGATTTATAAGTTTTATATGAATTAATTGTGAAAAAGTTATTCGAATAATTTTTTATTTGAATAATAATTATTTATGTAAATATTTTTAACAAATTTTTTTTTTAAATACATTTTGGAAAAATTATTTGAATGACGTTTCATTTAAATTAATTGTATTTAAATAATTATATGCATTACTCTAAAAGTAAAAAAAAATAGGCATTATTATAATAGAGTGAAAATGAATTAATATTCGTTTTAAATTTTAGTTACCTTAATTTTAAGCTGAATATGTCGGAGGTCCTTAATTTAGGTCTCCTAAATGTGCAGTAGGTGTGTTGCGGCACAAAGTGCTGTTTACGATGTCGGAGACCGGTGAATTCCGGCCCGTCAGTTTTTGATGGACGTATGAGTTGCGACCTGTGTAACCTTTTCTATCTTAAAATGTTAATCGCTAATATAGCTATACATAGTGATTTACTCAGTATCTTATAACTCATTAGGTTTAATTCGTTCATGAGTTTTATTCTTCGTAGTGTTTTATAAAACGTGGTTTCATAACTTTTAAATGTATTACAGTTCAAAAGTTAGGAACAAAGGAGAAGTACGGTAGAGTAATGCGCGCAGATAATATTATAGTTATAGATATTTTAGTTATCGATAGTTCAATAGTTAGAAGCTAACTAATCCATAGGACTACAAAACTTGATAGAAAACACATTTTTGGGACTAAGCCAGCCTTCCCGTGGTTTCTCCTGGGTAATGCTAATATGCTAATATAAAGTGGTAAATATTATATGGCCTCGAATAGTACTCGTAGTTGATTTAGGGATTGGCTCGCAACTCACTTACACCGCCTACTAAATCATAGACGCTGTAGTATCATGAATTATGACTACAGGCGGAACAGAAAGTAAATTTATTTTGGGTTTTTAGGGACGTTTCTACGAAATCAAATTACTAGTAAATCACCTAAATTTTATAAATGTAAAATGTATAAACTATACATTTTTATACTTATATAATAATTTTTTGGGAATTGGAGGGCTTGGACGCGCTGGAAAAGTTGTTGAAAAATTATATTCTTTCTACCTCCAATAAAAAGGTATTGAAATTCATGCAGTCTAAAAATAAACATTAGACACTATAGTTCTGAAATAAATTGAGGATTCTTACAATTTTGGCACAGAAATAAAATGATGCTTACTTTTGGCAATGTATTTTTTTTTTTTTGAACCTAGAAAAAATAATATTTTAAGTTGCATATTTATTGTTAAAATTAGTTTGTTTTCCAAGCAACAGCTTTTTACTAAAAGGTGGTATGTTTATTCACAACGACACAGTTAAACAGTTTTTTCTTTAAGCATTGACAGCAACTAATTATACTAGCTAACTAACATAAATTCTGGTTCCACACCAATTAAAGCAATGCGATTTAATACTTGTGCTGTATACATGACTATGTGGTTTATTAATTATTATTTACCATGTGTCATTTCGTTGCTCTTAGTTGCCTTACCACTTGGATTGTTCGTGTGGCCTTAAGGAGTCGATAGGGGCTGAAAATGATGCGACCCCTCTTTTAAGGTGAGGATTTTGCACCGGTTACGAAAATAACCTTTCATTTATTATTTTTGGACTTTGAAGGTTAAGTCTTCAATTTTTGAGATAATCAATAATGGACAACGAGGGGCTTATTTGTATACCTCACTGATGTTAACCCATATATTAGTATGGTTCGGTACCGGAACACTCTGTATTGTACAAAACAGTGCGTAAGTTATAAAATTAACTATAGTTGTAATAATAATATTATTGTATCATTATTACTATTATCATGTTTATTATTATAACATTTATGGTAAAGTCATGAAAAAACAATTTTGTTAACTCAATTATTTAACAAATGTGAAAGCCCGCGTGCACGTTTAAAAACAAGTTCCCTTCAGACGGTTACACTGATTTTGATGGGCCAATCCTCAGAGTAACTACTACTACTACCCACGATGTACAGAAGATATTTTATCTATATCGTGCTATTACCTATACCATTGATTAATATGTATTTAATCAATGCCTATACATACCATAGACCTACTAGCTGTCCTAGTTAGTATACACGGGCGTTAGTATACGGGCGTTGTCGTGTAGTGTTATACTTTTTGGAAATGTTTGTTGCCATGTGTCTTCATTTTGGGAGATGGTAAACTGCACCAAAATGACCCTTTTTCTATAAGCTGATATGTAAACTGCGGCTAAAACAATTTAAACATACAAACTGCGACAATTTATTTTATTTACCTACTATATAATATATACAAACCGAATACCGAGACGAATGCTATATTGTAACATGTATTATTATAGGTCAATGATGTGCACATTGTCCATAGGAGTAAAGGTGTAAAAATTAAAATTAAAAAACAATTTTATGTATGAAATTGAAAAATATTATTATTTAACGAACATTAAAAATTATTGTACGTCTAATAGGATCATAATGTCTAAGAAAATTAAAAATTGATATAATACTTCAATCATTGTTTACATTTAATCTAATTTATTTAATATTTTGTTATTTATTCTTAAAACGTACTTTTTTCAAAAATTCGTATCTTGAAATCTGTTTATCTTCTTTTTTTTTGTTACTTTTCGTTAATAAATTTGTATGTTTAAGTTGTTATTTTACTTCGTTGTTGTATTACACCTTCTTCTGCACTTCTAATTTTTATTTATGTGTCAACTTGAACATCCTGTATAGCATCTATATATTATGATTTCTGTACCTATACGAGTATATGTTATCGTATCAGTATGTATTATTGTATATAACTTATAAGTATGGTATATCATATAGTAGATATATAAAATAAAATGTCGCAGTTTGTAGAATGTATCGTATAATTTTTATCGTAGTTTGTATAATGTTTAAAAAATGTTTGCCCCAGTTTTCATATCAGCTTATAGAAAAAGGGTCATTTTGGCGCAGTCTTCGTTTAGCCTTTTAAATTTGTCGTTTTTAAATAATTCATACATAAGTGTAAACATTTTTATTTTATTTGGTCTACTAATTTAAATTAATGAAATCATAAATAATATTTTGTTTACTTGGATATTGTTCAAATTATTAATTAAAACTTGTGTAGTTTTTGAAGAACTACCATACAGTTAAAAAATATTGTTGTTTTAAAAAATTACCATTCTTACTGCTTTAAATTCCTCTCTTCTCATAACATAAATAAACCATCTCAGTCTATATTCTCTCATTTTATCTGATACCCATCGTAGTCACCCCTATGCTATTTTTTAAGTATTCGTTTTTTATTCTATCTTCTCCAGTCACCACACCACTCATACTCCTAAGAATTCTCGCCACCACTACACTTATTCTTTGTTTTCATTTTCCTGTCTACCATCTAACACGTATGCAATATAGTCTCGCTACATTTGTAAAACATACTACCTAATATTGGTACTTATTTGTAGTATAATAGTCAGATACAATTTTATTGCACGAGGCATAACCTAATTTTTGTGATTCACAAATAATACATCTGCAATGCAACATTAATGTCAAAGAATGTAACTTTTACAAAGTTATGTATTTTATTGTATACGACAATGGAAAACATTTTTAATTTCGATTATTAAACTAAGAAAAATCTTATTGTTGTATATCAATGGTTTACCAAATGAAACAGCATAAATAAGTTTTATTTGGTAAACGTCATCCTATATGCTTAAAAAATAGTTTGGTTTTACACATAAGTTAACCTAATATTTCCTTTTGTGTGAAAAAATATGATAATTTCCATAGCGCCACGTATCAAACCGTATGCGTTTTAAGAGCGTTACAGCTGAAATTGTCATTTTTTTATGTATGCACTATATTTTAGTACTTAAATTGCTCATAAAAGCCAAGTTTGTCAACAGGTTTTGATAATTTACAAGTTTAATGGCCAAGTTCATATGCTCTTAAACATACCTAAACAAGCTTGTATTAAAGCTTAGCGATTATACATAAAGGATACATGATATGTTATGTTTATGACTGTTATTTATTTATTTTGTATTTATTAAATACATTAACATTTTTTTTTTTAATAATAATTAACATAAAATATTTAAGATTTTTCAGCATAGGTTGTTCATTGGTGGTTTTCCTTATTTTTTACTGGATAGGCAACTCAGTTGATATTTTACCGGTAATCGCCTTATCAATTCATGGTAGGGTGCTGGCTGTTGTGGTGCTATCTTCACAATCATTCTATGACACTCGCTCACAGGCTTACCCAATTTAATTAATTAATTAATTATAATCTTTGGTCCATTTAATATTTTATTACGAACTAAGGTGTAAGATGTTTGTTTATTTATAAATATATTTGTTTATCTTAGTTCGTGTATTTTACGTATTATTTAATAGTATTGGGCACCGTATCTATTTAGCTAAACAATTAACATCTATAATGAATACTAAAGATAGACAAGAAGCAAGAAGACGGCGAATTTTAGAAAATTCGGAAACAAGGCTAAAGAAAATAACTGATTTAAGTACATCTGAAAATTCATTTAATAGTCTGATTGATCCAATTGATAAAGAACAAGGTAAAAACCATAATGTTACTTTCTTGTAAGCATATTTAAAATTTTCTACGACATTGTAACCAATAATGTGTAATATTAGTTCTTTAAATAATTCTAATAAATTTTGTTTTTATCAGTACAAAATATCACATTTTGTACACAATGTATTTAATGAATACTAAAGATTCCCTGTTAGTTTTAATACTACATGTTAACGATTGAATTTGGGTTGAACCCACCCTAGCCCCCTCGTATTTGCGCCTATGTCGGGTTCAATGTTCCATTATGAAACAAAAAACTTAAATTCAAAAATTTCACCCTAAGGTTGTTTTTTGAGCTAGCTTTACAATTACACACTAATTATCAGTTATCAACTGCTAATCATTAAATACAACGTGTTAACCACTTTGTTACTTGGTATTATCATCATAATATAGACTTACAGACTTTGAAGCCCCAACGCTGCCATCATAAGATGGTTTTTAACAAATTTGTTATCTCGTTGCGTTGATATTTCTTACCACTTTATTTTCCATAAATTTGTTTAGGTAATCATCTCATTATATTCTCTTAATTTTTCTGCTTTTGGTACAACTTCCAAACTAAAACTTAATAAAAATAAATAAATTTATTTACAACATTTTTTTTTAAAGTTTTCCCGTTTTAGATCTTAAATTTCTCTTTGGTTCTAATTAATAAATTTAATTTGATAATAATTCTTTTCAGAGAGTATTTTATGGTTGCCCGAAACTTCAATTACTGAGTGTAATCAAATTCATGAAAGTAATAAAAACATTGAAGAAAAAGTATTCAATTATAAGTTAACTAATTCCAAATCCGAGTCATACTTCACAGCTTATAAATATTATGAAATCAATTTTTCAAAAAGTTCAGCATTAAATATGGTATTGTCTCAGATCGTTTTAGCACTACTTTACTATGACCTAGGATTTATATTTGGAAATGTAAGTCCTTTATTTCAATAAATAATAGTTATTTATTTGTTTAACTTAACCCATTAATTTTTTTAAGAAATAATGTATTATTACAAATATGTATTAAAATATTATTTCATGTCCTGGTGATTTGTTATTATGCAGTTTTTTGATTATGTTAAGTACTTCAGCAGGCGATGTAGGTTTGGCAGGTAGAGACATAGGCAACGAAAACTTAAGACAGTTTCAAGTTGTTGAATAGAGGGTGAAATAGAATGAGGTTTAAAGACGTTTGATAGAACTTCAGCTAATAGATCCGCTTTTTCTTTAAGTGGCCAAAGAGTTATCTGAGCGACGGAGAGAGTGAGCACTGTCTTTTGTGCATTTTTGATTTTATTTGTGAGAAGATTAAGCTCACGGTCTATGTCAGGTGGGGATTTAAGTTTGATATTCAAAGTACAGCTGTTTAACAGATTTTCTCTGAACTTAGTCCAATTTGTACGTCCTGGGGTGAGAGTTGGTCTTTTTGGTTTGTTGTAGGGTTGAGCTTCAACGTGTAGAAGAATAGGTGTGTGGTCCGAGGCTGGGTAGTTTAAGTTCGTTACATCTAAGTTAAAGCGATTGGTATATTTGTAATAAAGAAATCAATTGTGTCTGGATGACGATTTTTGTGAGTTGGCCAGTATGTCAGCAAGCTAGGTGAAATAATTTTTAATATTTATACATTTAATTAACATCTTATTATTCAAATTCATATTAATTTGAAAATAATAGTAGAGATTGAGCTTAATTAATTATTTATTAAAAAAAATTATATCAGTAAAATACAGTACTTAGGTAGTATTAAAAATTAATACTGTGCTCAGCCCTCGGGAGCAAAAAGAGGCAAACCAAAATGTCATGAAATGTTGTCTTATCGCTGAATAGTGTGCTACTCATGTTTTTTTTTTTAACAACATTAATATTTAGGAATTATTATTAATAATATATTTATCTTAATATGATTTTGAAAAAAATTATTTAATTGTATATTAATATAGTCTTTACTGTAAATAAAAAATAAATTTTGGATTCCAAACAAAATTTTTTTTAAAAATTATAAATGTAGGCGCAGGCGCGTGGCGGAGTGAGATAAGGCGGCAGTGTATCAAGTCTATCAACGAACGGTCGCCGGTTTCGAAACTCGGCCACTGGCTGATTATTCCTCTGGGCGGTCAACTGTCTGGTGGAAAAAATGGCCACCTGCACCTCTCTCTGGGGCCAACTTGTTTGGTAACGTTAGGTCGGCAGCCAGCTGTAAATTTAAAAATGACAAATCTTAACCGTCTAAGCCCCGATCGGCGAGAAAAACGGACGTAAAATGTAAGAGAGAGAGAGAGAGAGAGAGAGAGAGAAAGAGAAATGTGGGTGTACTTAAATTTACTTGGACATAGCACATCCATGTCCCTATGTATCCACTTGTAGTGACTAGTGTGGATACTCAGATTTTAGTTTTCGTAGACTCTTTTTCACTCTCAATCTAAACCACTTCCCCTTCGATGCTGACCACTAAAAACTTATGAATTAAGATATTAAATATTTATAATATAATATTACTTATCTTATCCTTACCATTAGCTGAAACGAGAAGTTTTCCATTTAAAATAACTACAATTTTTCTAATTTAATTTAATTGTTCTACTGCAAGGGCAAATTATTGACGATAAAAATTAATTTTACATGAAATTGTCACAAATTTTACTAAAAATGTATAGGTCATTTTATGTAATTTTTACACTGCACAACTACGATTTTTAATTTTTTTACTAAGAAAACCAATTGTAAATCTTCATTAAAAAAACTAATAGTGTATTATATTTTCTTGATTAAACTTTTTTTTATATATTTTTAGATATGTATTTATTTTTTTGTTACAACAATAATTGTATTTTATTTTGTTCTAGTCAGCTGTATTGCCATTTACAATCAGTATTATCCCTGAATTACTCAATTTTAAAGAAGACCATGATAACTTCTACGTTTTTGGATTGTTACTTTTAGGAATTTCTCAAGAAGTCGCTCAACAAGTATCTAAAAGCTTTAAATTAGCAAGTTTTGTAGCAAAACGATTTTGTGTGTATGTATTTTGCTTTACAATTTCTTATGTTATCTTCAGAGATTCTAAGAGAATTAATGATATTTAAATTTGTATAGGCTATTGTTAAATTATAAAAAAAGTTTTTTGTGGTTATGTGATTTTAGCATAAATTGAATTGTTTGATATTATATGACGTGAAATTAATTTATTTTAATACCTATATACTATATACTTAAAAGTAATACATAATAACACTTAAACTGATTATATAATATTACTAAAAATACATTTTATTTTAAAGTAATATGAAATAACTATCAATAGTTACAACAAACAAGGATCGGGATAACAACAATTTATTCTATAAACTGACAAAATATTATTTAACATATACATAATGAATACAATTTATTTTAAACCGTTTTGGAAAAGAAAATATAAGTTTTTTTTAATAAAATAGGCGTGAATACTGGCTGTAGGTTAGTACAATAGATTTCTTTTTTAATGAAAATATGTGAAAGAAAATTTAATTGTTTAGAATAACTATTTTAAGATTAAAATGTAAAATTTTATTGCAAGTTAATTCTCGACCTTAGGTTAGATATATAACAATCTTTTATATTAATTAACAGGTATTCAAGAATAATTTGGTTACAATACTTCTTTAGTAGTAAATTTTATTTAAACAACATTACAAATATATAATACAAAAACTAATAATATTTTAATGTATACTTAACTATAAACTGGTGTTACTATTTCAGAGATGGTGGTTTATTGCTTAGCACATTTTCTTTTTCCTTAGCTTTTAATTCAAATAAACTATGTATGGCTTTTCGTAAAATCATGAAATTATAGTCTATGATTCCTGGAAACAAATATACTTTTAACTCGCTAAAATTATAACAATGCTTAATTTAATACAACTCTAATATTGTATATTTTATGAATTAAATTTGGTCATGATGTTAGTATTGTGGTTTAGAAAATGGAAGTGTAATTGTTTGGAATTATGGTTTTGTTAACTGGGTATTATGAAATTGAAAAATTCGGGTACATGGGTAAAACTGAGCAATTTACCAGTTTTTTTATTTACAATGGTACCAATGGTACAGCGGTTCTCAAACTTTTTTCATTTAAGCTACCATAAAAATAGGAAAATGTATTTGTGCTTCCCATAAATACTGTATAGCAGCGGTTCCAAAACTTTTTTCATTCAAGCTGTTGCTATTTACTTTGGGCCTACTCTGTTAAGTGCTCGCACCTCTTATAAAAAGAGCACCGCACAGCTTGAGAATTGTTGCTATAGTAATTTTGTATCAACTATTCTATATATATATATCAAATTTATGAGTATTGTAATCATTATATGACATATAATAAAGCATTAACAAATTGCATTACAGAAAAAAATATAAATTGATATATTCTAGTACTTGTGATTTAATAAAATTAATATTCCATCCTAAAAATTAGTGGCGCAAAACAATTAGAAGAAAGCATGACACAAGGTCTCATATTTACACTCTTCTACTAAACATTTTAATTGAATCTAACAATAAATTACTCACACTCAAACTTTTATTGGCCTTTAGTTGACAATATTGTCAATAGAAAAAGTAAATTTAAGTGATAACTATTTCATTTTGTTATACAGATTTATGTACATATTTTTGAAGAAGAGTAGTTATGAATTGTTTTTAAAATATCAATCATAAGTTGAGAGTTTTGTTCAACATATCCAAAATAATTATAAATTAAACTCTGAATTATTTATTTATTTTTTAATTATAATATGGGCTTCGACTTCAGAGGTCATTAGCCATAAATTTACAATTTTCTTTTTTAAATGGTTTAGTTAGAACTATAGTATATATAAATAATATTGTTTACATTTTGTCGTACAGTTGTATAGTTAAAAAAAAATTGATTGTTTTTGCTACATTATGAGGTAAGTTTCCTAGTGTTTCTTGTAGGGCAATCGGCATGAATTATTTATTATACACTTAAGTATTTAATAATTTGTATTTTTGATCTAATTAACAGTAGTCACACCATTATAGCATAATTTTAACAATTTTATTCAAAATTGTATAGTTCAAACATAATACATATTTTAAATTATAATAAAATTCAATTTTGTTTAATAAATCAGATATATAATATAGTATATACTTACTTTGTTTTTCAAAATTATCTTCTCTCAAAATACAAACTAATGCCAAAAAACTACAAACTTCTCGTAAATACAAAATTGTACCGTTATTGAGTTTGATAAGACTAGAACTTTGATTGTCAAATGAAGGATCTGTCATTGATTTAGGAGTTTCTCCTAAACTAAAATTAAAAATACAAAAATTAAAAACAACATTCTAAAGTAAAATAGGTAAAGTATAAATCACTTTATAAAAAACAAGTTTACTGTTTAACTAAATTTGGATGTTAATGAGTAGGTACTTGTAGATGATATCTCAAGATTTATAACTAAAGTGCATATTTAATCTTACCACATACTCTGTTTATCTAAAAATTACTTATTTGAGTAAAGACAATTCATAATAACTATAATCACCCATAAATATTGGATAAATCTATAACTACATCAATCATATCACAACAAAGTTCATAGCTTTGCATATCAACAGGTGATGAATCAGTAGCAACATATATCTTAGTTTTTACATCAAACAAGAATGCTTTTTCAATTCCTGAAGTCTGAAAAAAATATATGCAGATTTAAATTAATAAAGCTTTGATGCGAAACATTCTGCATAAATTATGTACAATAAATATTTTATTTTGTCTAGCCTCATAACAGTGATACATTATCACGAACTTGAGTAATTCTTACAAATTAAATTTAGAATATTACAACGAACTTATTTATGGCTACAAGTTAAGTAGTATTAATTTAAAATTGGGAATTATGTGCTTAAATCTTTCCAAGTTTATAAAAAACCAAGCATTTTAAATTGTACATAAACTATTTATAAGTTTTATTCAAGTCGTATGAAAGTTTTATTGTTTTTTTTATACTATTCACAGATGTATTACATTTAAATGTATTCTAACCTCTAAAATTTTAATATGTTGGATTATTTAAAAGTTAATAAAATTATACTTAATTACCTGTATAATAATATTAAGAAAATGTTCAAGTGTTGCGTATTGAGGAATCATTTTTTGAACAACTCTACTAAATGCTTCAAATATACTATGGTCGTAAATAGATGTCAAGTGGAAACTGATATAAATTTTTTGATCATCCCCTGCAAATTAAAAATAAACACTTTAGTGTAATATGAACTTTATTTATAAATATTAATAAATAAAAAGATAATATCAGAAATCATTTAAGTAAAAGTCTGCTGTTAGCGCTGAAGATAGTAATAAAGTTGCTGAAATACGCAGATTTGTGTAAACAATTTTTTTTATTGAGGATGATGTTTTTAATATTTTTAAATAAAACTTCTAACATTATATAATATAATTATATTTTAATAATAATAAAATTTTTGTTTTCATTCGGTAGTTAGAATTTTTTTATAACTATATTGTAATAAATTATCTGCAGATATTTTTATTGAAATTATTGAAATATTCTATAGACACAATACTACCTATAAACATTGATAAATAAAAAAAAAATCATAAATTCTTTATCTTAGAAGGGATAGACATTTTTTCTTTATTTAATATTTCAAGCAAAGTTTTAGGGATTTAGGTCTGAAAATTAGACTGACGGTAGATATAGAATGGAACTATAACATATAGCATAAAATGTATATAAATATATTAAAATTTCTTTTGAATTTCAAATTTTTTATAATTATTTATTAAAATAAATATATTAGTATGTTCAACCCAGTTTTAGCGGTTTTGAAGATATCGTGGGACCAGCAATAATGTAATTAAAATTTAATCGTCTGTCTATAAAAATGTACTGTCATAGTTACCCATATACCGTATTTAACAATATAATGAAAACATTTTCATTACCTGTTGACTGTTGATTCATTCACACATAGCAACCTAGAAACTGACTACGGCCAAAGTATAAATTTACCCTATTTTTGGGGTTTTTCCTTAATAAAAAAAAAATTTGACTGCAGATTTTTGAGAATATTGTATATGCTAATGTTCCATTTAAGATCTACCTTCGGTCTAATTTTCAGATCTAAATCTTTAAAACTTTGCTTGAAAAAGTGAAATAAAGAAAAAAGTTCTATTCCTTTTAGGGGAAAGGGTTTATGATATTTTTTTGTTTTGTTAATGTTTATCAATAGTACCATGTTTGCAGAACAATTCATATAAATGTAGAACTTTTTCGACTATTTTTAAAAAAGTTATAGAGCATCGTAATTTTAAGTTGAGAAATTTGCAAATTTTTTGGGTGTTTTTCTCGATTTTGATGGGGAAGGGGTGACTTTTATACATTTTTGGCCTAATGAAGTATTTCAGGTATGATTTCTGAGTTGCTATACAAATAAATCGGTTCAGCGGTTTATGAGATATCGTGGGTCCAGACACAAAAATAAAAACACATCATTGTAAAAACAATACCTTCTCAGCTCCGCACCAAAGCTAAACAAAATTTGCTGAAAAACAAATAAGTTGGGTTTTTCCTTTTTTGAACATTATGATGTTATTATTATCACAAAGATTTCTAAGTGAATACAATTTTTACAAACCCATTTATTAAAACTTCTAGCTATAATTCTAACTTATTTATTATTATAGATTTAAAAATAAAAACAATTAGTATTATGATTACTTATTAGTTTCAAGTCATAAGTTTCAATTATATTTAAAGATATTTTTAAAAAAGCTTTTAAATTACCAGAGTCTACTAAGTCATCGTTAGCTCGTTGGTGGATTTCTCTTTGAGTTTCCATTTTAGTATCTTCAGTAAGTCCATCAACTTTATGAATAAAAACTTCAAATTTTATATTATTGTTCACTTTGTGTGCTTTTGTGACAACAGAATGCAAACGATTCAAAGCACTAGCTATAGCGTCCTATTGAAATAAATTATTTTTTGTTAAACAAAAACAGTTCATAGTTCAACATGATTCTTTATAATTTACCTGAGCATCAATAACAAAAATAAGAGCTTCACATCCAGTAAATACGGTTTCTGCATCATATTCAGGATCAGTGAAGTCGAAATGACCAGGAAAGTCACATATTTGAAAATTTACAAAAGCTGAATTATTGATGTCATCTTTAAGCACAGAATTATTGCTACCCACAAATAAAGTCTCATTAGGGGACATTTTTTGAAAAACAACTTTTTGTATTGATGTTTTTCCACTTCTAAAAAATAAATTAATTATGAGAAAATTGTGTATAATAGTATTAAAATATTAAAATTTTTACCCTCTTAGTCCCATAAGAATAAGACGAGGTAAGTCTTCTTTATCTGATTCTACATCTTCATCAGATACAAATGGGTTATAATCATAATGTTTTGGTAGAGAACCGATGTCAAATTCTGGACTATATGTCTCATCTTCAACTTGATTAAATGACTAATACAATTTTTAAACACAAAACAGTATTTATAATTTTTAAAATGTAAAAATATAATAGATAGGTATACATAAAATAAGTGAAAAAAAAAGCTAGTACAGTGGGGACTTGGCATATTACAGTTGAAAGTCACAGGTCTATATGAATTATTACAACTGAAAATGATAAAACATGCGTATACGCGTCAACAGACTTTTTTTGAAACGGACCACTGATGCATATTATACGCGTCCAATTCATATACATTTTTGTATGGCATGTTCTAGTTGTGCGATCAAATATTCAATGTAGTCGACACGTAAACGCATCAGACCAAAAATAGGAGGGGCGCAGCGACCTACACAAACGAAATACAGAGCAGTGTTTAAAGTGTTAAAACTTAAAAATGTATTTTTAGTATAAGTGTAGATATGATCATCAGTCTATAATAATTTATTGCCATAATTATCCATATATCGTAATTAACAATATAATAAAAAATATTTTCAAACTTTGGATTGTTGATTCACTCACACATAGCAATCAGGAAATTGATTATGGTCGAAGTGTAATATTCCGCTTTTTTTAGGGGTTTTCTTAATAAAAGATAAACATGTTATAGTTTCATTTTAGATTTACCTTTCGGTCTAATTTTCAGACCTAAATCTCTTTTTTTTGTGAAATCATATATATTTTGTAATACATACCATTATATTTTGTTTGTAAGTCTTTTTAAAATTATATACAAATTATTAATTAATCAGAAATATAATGAAACAACTTTAATTTAAATATTCAAATATACATTTAGAATATACCATACAATTTAAAAATACATAATTCATGTCACTTCCAATAGAAATAACTATTAATGTTCACTGGAGTCATTTATTCACCAATATTAATTTCTTTAATTCAACAACAATAATGGAAATGATAATTGTTAAAATTAGGCTTAAACTTTGATTAAATATTAACATTAATAAATATTTTTTTATTGAGTGTATTTTCCTGTTATCATATTACATAATTACCTAGTTGCTGTAATCATAAAATTAATAAACATGATAAAGACCATATAGCAGATAGCCGCTAACGCACAGATTATACGAAAACACTTTGTTCTCTTGGGATGTAAACAAAAAATGAGCCGAATGCCGATGATTCACTATAAAAAAAAATAAGAATAATGGATGTAATTTCAGTTTTGAGATTTATCGTAATGAAATGCACACGTTTAGGTAGATATCCTAAGATTCAAATACTGCTTGTAACATACAACGGCAACATAAAACAGTATAGTCACAGAATAGACTACTGTTCTGACTTCTGTGCTTCTGGTTTAGTAATTCTACGGATTGGATTTTATATTAGTCCCGGGTTTTATACCCTTTATAAGCCTTACACAATATTATCATTATGCCATGACACTATAGCAGTATTAATAGATACTATTAGTATATATATCTATGGCACCAGCATAGTAATTATCTTCAATACTCATTACTCAATAGCATGAATACTATTCTAGACTCTTCTAATAGTTTATCGTAATCAGTATGAGGCTAGACGTAGTAAATGGTATATACCACGGTTATAGAATATTGATAACCGTAGTAGGTAACCGAGGATAGTACTAAATAGTAAATACATTATACATATTTATACAATACGCAGTATTCAGTTATCAATAGTATCAACTATAATAATATTATATACTTTTATAGTTTACATTTAGACTGCAGAGTGCAGTCATAGACAATAGTCAGGACTCAGTAGTCAGTTTTCGTTATAACTTTAATGTCGCGGATTAACCGAACTTGTATTTTCTATGCGGTATAAACAGTAAACACTAAACTATGTTAGATGAATGCAATATAAACCAAAATTGAAACTTTAAATTATTATACAATTTCTGTGCGAAGTACTTGTGATAATTGGTACTTAATTACTTTTTACGTAGCTTCTAATTAACGAGTTGGAAATTTAATAGTGTGACCATGTAGTATGACCAAAGTCCAAACGCATTATTTCCAAAAACCACATTGAAGTATCCTTATGTAAGTATATTGAATACATTTGTTTATTATCTTTAATTAATCGAATTATATATGAAATTGTTGTTCAACTTACAATTTTTTATTTAAATTTTAATGTTATCTTTTGCCGATAAATGATTCAATTGTTTGCCAATATTTTGTGAAAATTGTTTTAAACTAAATAGTTAACTAGTTGTATAAAAAATTATGATATTTAAATAGGTATAATAAATAATATAATATGTATATATATTTATTTTAGGTATAATGTCGTCTCATGAACCAAAACCGTCAATAACCAATGTTCTGGATTTGTTAGCTCAACAGAATATTGTGATTTCTGGTTAGTATTATTTAGATGACAGCTTTTAGTTCAATATGTATAATTAAATATAACTTTTTTGATAAAATATTGTTTTTTTAACCTATCCTAATCCATAATTCTTTATATAAATAAGACAAGAGCTAGTAGCTTGTTATTTTAAAATAATACTTTTTAAGCTATTCTTAAAAAACTAAATTGAGTTTATGTAAAATGTATAATTTTTTAGGAGGAAAAGTTAAAGAAGGCTATTCTATCTTAACATTTCCAGACACTAATCATTTTTTTGAGCTATCAGAAGAAGATTATGAAAAACTTATATCATACATTACCTCGGTGCCATCGTATGTATTATAATATCAATTAAGATGAATTCTAAATTATTATTGTAAGTAATTTATTTTATATTTTTATAGTTTACAAGAGGTTGATCTAGGTTTTGTGGTTGTCGTTGACAGACGCAATGATAAGTGGAGTTCAGTTCGATGCGTTCTTCAACGATTAGCAGTAAGTAAATATATTAAATTTATTATTAAAACTCTTTGTTTAAATTATATGTTTAGTAAAAAGTTAAATAATTGTATAATTCAAAATTACAAGATTCTTTATGCTATTCTCCTGTACATGTTAATGCATTGATGCATATGTATGAACAAATTAATTTTGTGTAACTAATTAATTAATTACCATAGCTGTTAGAGAGTCTAGATAATGAATTTAAGAAATTCATTTAATAATATCACATTTTGTGATTGCCATACATTGTGGACGCACAGGATAAATCTTTAGTGAGTAAATGTGCAGTTGATAGTTTGAAATTCTATTATTAGTAGTGAGTTTTATTCCATAAAGTGGTAAATACTTAGAGTAAAAGTCAACATCCCTCTCTAAGCATTAATAATTTTAATGAGCGTTGAGCTAGTAACCAGCTCTGTAATTTCAACCTCATCGACCATATTAAAACCATATTGGAAAATACAGGCATTAACAGTATGTCATAACCTTTAAAAATAATCGTAATAACAAGTTTATGACAAAGAGTGTAGGTCAAAGCAAATGTTCCTAGAAAAAAAGAAGTTGGTACTGGAAATGAAAGGAGAGCTTAAACTAGGTTCTCTCATCAGTATTTTTAGGCAACTTAAATTTTACCTTAAATACAAGCATTTAAAAAAGTAAAGAAATGTCAGAATCAAAATATAAATTGTGAATGTTGGGTTAATAATATCAAAAAAGCCGACGAAAGAACCTAGATGAAGTTCTCATTTTTTAAAGTTTCATGTCAAAAAATGTTTTCTAAGATTATTATTTAGCTAATAATAGAGAAGTAGCTATGTTTAGATAAAAAAAAAAAAAAAAATTTTAATTCGCTTTCAAGGATGCTGTGTAGTCCATAAAATAAATAAACTACCCTAAAAGAGTCCTAATTATTGAACTAATAAAACATCACAGTGTAATCTTTAAATTAAGATTTTGAAAACAGTTGTCTATATCAAACGCCTTAATAAATATGACATCTTCTTAAATGTAAAGAAAATAAATTCTTCATTTTTTAAATAGTTTTAATTCTGCATCCCACATGTAAAGTTTAATTATTTTTAAATATGATTAAACAGTGATTTTTTAATTCATGTTAAATATATTTTATCAGAAGACCTGGATTAATGTAGAATAACTTAAATTTCAGTTACAGTTTAAAAATAATTACTAAGAACTTACGTTTGATACTTTACAAATTTGGACAGAATAATGGTAAAAATATTTGATTAATTATAAAACGTACATAAAAAAGCGTTTTTTTTCAATTTGACCATACAGTCATTACAACTTGGACAGTTTTTCATTTACTACAAAATGTGGTTTACACCTATTTCTAAACTATTATACATAATAAGTTCTGAAATAGTAATATTATTATAAATATATAAACTTTGGTGTTAATATAATCATAACTATTAACAAATATTTATTTGAATGATAGTCATGATAAAAAATTTAATTTTTAAAAATAAAAACTCATTTGTTTAGATATTTAGCAGATAACTTTGTATAGTATAAAAACATAATATATTAGTACAATATTTGTGATATATAAGTATTTTTAGCACATGTGTAGGTTGGTATTATTCCCCCACTATATTCACAACTGTGATACTTTTATTAATATAACACTCATTTAAATTTTAAGAAATTACTCATGAGTTTTTAAATTTTATCGAAATACTTAATAGTTTTTGTTCTTGTATTTTCTTAGGTTTCAAGATGAGTATGTATAATTATTGTAATAATTTAATGCTAAATCAAATAACACAAGTTTTTGTTTTTACAGGAATTTTTTCCGGGTCTTATTCATACTGTTTATGTGATAAGGCCTAATGGTTTTTTTCAAAAAGCTATTTCAGAAGTCAGTAATAAGTTTTTCAAGGAAGATTTTAAATTTAAAGTAGTTATATGTAGTGACATTGAAGAGCTACATGATTATATAGATTTAACTGAGCTTACTGTAGAGCTCGGTGGTACATTACCCTATTTTCATCAATATTGGATCCAACAAAGAATGGTAATAACATTAATGATTTTATTAAAGAATTATATAATAGGAAAAAGTTGTAATAATCATTTATTTAAATTTTTAATTAATTGAATCTAGGATTGCAGGGGTGATATGAGTTATAATATATTGTAGAAATGTAACCAGAAACATTTCTATAATCACAGATTCAATTGTTTATGTCAATTATTAAAAAACAAAAAAATGTGTATTTTTATTTTTAATAATTCTATATTATAATAATTTTAACTGTTCTATAACTAGTAAGTATGGGGTGTCCAAGAAAGAATGTTTTTTTTAAAAAAATGCAATAACTTTTTTAGTTTTGACCAAATTAAAAAAATCACATATGGTTTCATATGGTATCATTTAAAACCGATTCCTTTTTTTTCTGCTGTACTTTTCGGTCATATTTGTATTAACCAAGCATCGGAGTAGGAAGTTGTTCTGGATTATTCCATTCTGACCTTTGTTGAACAATACGTTCTTTAACATCGTTTTGGAACATTTAATTAAGGCTATACATTGTTTTGTAGTAATAGTTATTTTGTATTAATTCTTTTATAAGTAATACTAAAATATTGTTTCGGAACTTCCCATTGACATTGTTCCGATTCCTTCAAAAAATGTTTTTTTAACTTTCTCAAAAATTCTTTTTAGCTCAACTCAATTTTGTTTTAAATTTTCTTGATATAAACTTAAAAACAAATTTTTTTTCACTACTCCCTATTATATATTATATATGTATATTTTTTTTTTTATGAATTAAGGCACTTGAGAATTTTTCTGTTGAAACCAATGAAGTGTCTTCAATGCTCAATGAGTTTACAGAAAGATTAACAAACGATGCCATTGATTTGCCTGGCACAAAAGAACACGTGGCTGAATTATTATGTCGACACGCCGTAGAATTTGGAAGGTTGAAAGATTACTTTGCTGAAGCTGTAAGAAAAGGCGAAACTTTATTAAATGACTTTAAACTAGACACCGATACTTATCATGGCACCATACCTTCAACTGTTACAAATGTTGCGGCTCTTGAAAGGTGAAGATTTTTAAAAATTAATACTTGCGTTTAAATTTAGTTCTAAAATAAAATATACATTATTTTTGAGAATTGGTAGTTATTGTTTGTTGCAAAGTTATTCATACAAATAAATACATCTTGGGTAACATATCTTTGGATAGCTATGTGTAGGGGAGAATAGTTTAACCCTTTTTCATTTAAGTTTTAACAGTTTTTCATTTTTATTATTTTTTAAATAAGCATAGTTGTGCAAAGTTGGAGTAATATATCATTGTATAATTATGTATTTATATTATAATATATAATTCATAGTTATTTTGTTTGTTATATTAATGACATTGTATTCTTACTAAATTTTTGTTTTAAATAGATGATTACATACAATTTAGAGTGTAGAGTAGGGTCTTTATAAAAGTTATTATTTCGAAAATGTGAAACTTATTCTAGATGTTATATAATTTCCCATAGATTTGTCACTGCCAAGTTTTTTTAAACTAATCTTACCTATATTGTGTTCATTTAAAAAAAAATGTTTATATTTTTAAAATTAGATTATTGGTTCAAATGGAAGAGACCGAAAGAGTATTTGATAGTTTTTGGGAACAGTATTCTGGGCGACTCAAACAATGTCACTCCTTAAGAGCATTTGAAGAGAATTTTAACCTAGTTCAGGTATATTTCTAAAAATTTTTAAATTATATGATACATTTACACATATATAATTTTTATTCTTTACAAACAGATTTCGCATTAATTTAATTTTCTCATTTCCAGAGTTCATTGAATTTTCATTTGAAAATGTTATCTGAAATGACTGATGTTGGTGATTCAGTTGAACGGGTCGAGTTATTACTTGAAGAACTAGTTGCATTCCAGAAGTCAAGCCTTGTAAGTAAACTTTAAGAAGTTAGCTATAATTGAGCTGTTGAAAGCATAGGTGTTATAAGTCACATAAATATAAAGTTGAGAAACGGAAGGTTAATGCAGAAATGCTGTATATTTTTTTATGAGAACCCAAAAAGTCTCCTGCCATCTAACAGGAAACAAGCAAAGTAGGATTCACACTACTTTTGCAGGCAATAGATTGAAGGTAGAGTAATCTTCTGGTACTGTTATTTCAGATTGTGTGAAAACGTGGCTTACATCACTTTTGCTCTTGACTGCTCAATTATTAATATATGTTAACTTTACAAACTGATGTATGTATTTATAGGAAAAAATGAAAATGAGCGAAGAGCTATTACATTGTGGTGGGCAGTTATTAGCATCAAAACGTTTTATTGTCTTAGAAAGTGTCCAACCTAAGTGCGATGAAGTACAAAGACTCACACAAACATTAAATGATCGTTTAGAAAAACGTTTACAGACTTTAAATAAAAGTTGTGAGCTACAAGCTCGAATTCAAAAGGTATTTAATGTGTATACAATTATTTTCACCGAACAGTAGGACATATTATGTTGTTAAAAAAGTCTACCTATTGGGGCATGATACACAAGCCTTTAGTTACTGTTTTTTATTCACAGGCCAGTGAGTGGTGTGCAAAAGGTGTGAAATTATTAGGCTCGGAACCAGCTGACAAGTGTACAAGTGCTGAGCAAGCTCTAGCTGAATTGGAAGAGTTCATGAATAGTGCTCACCACCTTAAAGTAGAAAGCCCTAGGGAGTTCTATTCTTTATTTGAAGATACCATTACACCTGAAACTAAACCAATTGTTACACAAGTATTACAAAGACTAGACGACGTAACCACCATGTGCGATAAACGCTTAGCGAGTCTTAAGCGTTTGATAAATAAACCAAGACCTGTACAATCAGTAAATCCAGAACCTGCTATTCCAATTCATTTATCTAATCTTTCAAAGGTAAAGCTTAAATAATTTGTTGGTTTTTATTTTCTACTTAAATTAAGCTAATTATTATGTATGATTATTTTAGGTATCTAACAATATAGATGAATGCAATACGAAAGTATATGAAAACAACGCTTCTAAAACTAAACACGTTCTCGATGAGCTATTGTATACTGAACGACAATATACCACAGAGTTGGGTAGCATACTTAGGGTGTGTATTAATGTTTTTATAACATTGAATCATATATTAAGTATACATAAAGATATACTTTTTTGGCAACCCAATTTTAGATGCAAACCTCTTAAGGGGAGAGGGTTGTGTAAATAGTAGTTTTTTCCAGAATTTCTTTTGGAGAAACGGTAAGATTTATTAAAATGAAATAAATTACATTATGAAATTGTCAGTTCAAAGTATTTTATAAAAAATTTCATATTATAAAAATTAAAAATGGCGGCGTTACAGCTGTTTGAATCTGACTTATTGGTTTTGTGCTGTACAGCGTACAGGTTGCTATATTTATTTAAAATAAAAATTCTATCAATTTTAATTTTTTGTTAAAACACGTTCATGTACAATGTGCTGAATATTTCTTTTTTGAGAAAAATGCGTTTAAAGTTTGCGGCACTCGCTGTTGGTAGATTACCTAACAATTTTTTTTGCATCTTTATACCAATTTTTATGATTTTTTTTCGACAAATAATGTTGTCCTCTCTCTAGAGTCAAAATATCAAATCACTTCGGTAATGCTGCCATTTAATGTCAAAATATCAAAACAATAAGTATATTTGGCCAAGAGACTATAGGGGAAAGTGTTTACTCACGCAGTCCTATAATACACCTGCGCGTAGCATGGTGCCATTGGAACCATTTATAATATATCATTTATATAATATAATGGAATACTTATAGTACATTCTTCAGATGATAAACTAACTTTCTAAGCAATAAAAATAATGTTTTTTTCACACCATCTTCCTCCCTTAAATATGAACAATGTATTTGTTGCTTCATTTTCGGTTGTCGTATTTCTTACTCATGTGAACTATGTATATTATTAACTTTAAATATTGATAATTTAATATAAATGACATTTATATTATTGCGTTTAATTTAGGGATACAAAGATCAAATGGAATTACCAGATATGAAAACATTGATACCCACTGGTCTAAAGGGGAAAAGTGAAGTTTTATTTGGAAATCTTGAGAGCATTTATAGTTTTCATAGTCAATTTTTTTTGCCAGCTTTAGAAAGTAATTCTTCAGATACTGAAACAGTGGCAGTTTGTTTTACGGACAATGTAGTAAAATTTATAATATTTCTACTTTGGACTGTAGAACTGACAAAAGGTTAATTTTTTTTTTTAGAGAGAAAAACTTCTGCAACTTTATACTTACTACTGTGTAAATCTTACGAGATCAGAAGAAATAAGAGAAACTATTGGAGAAGACAACGAGTTCTTTAAAGCATGTCAAAAGAAGCTTGGACATCGTTTACCGCTCGGTGCTTATTTATTATTGCCGATGCAAAGAATTACCAAGTATCAACTTCTGCTTAAAGTATGTGTAGCAAATTCAATAAAATTATTATTGGATCATAATATGTTATATTATATTTTAGGAGCTGTTGCACAATGAAAAAAATCAAAATTGTATTAATAAATTACAAAAAGCTCTTGACTGTATGTTACTTGTTCTAAACAATGTCAATGATAATATGCATCAAATTGGAATAACTGGCTTCCAAGTGAGTTAACATTTATGAATGTGCTAAAACATTTGTGGATTGAACTATTAGCTTAAACATTTATCGAAAGTAAAAACAATGGTTTTAACTGATGGTTTTGTGAATACCAGGGCGATTGGAATGACCTTGGTGGGTTACTTTTGCAAGGATCGTTTGCTGTATGGGTTGAAAATAAAAAAGATTTGCTGAAGGAGCTTCGACTCAAGCCAATGAGGCGTCAAATTTTTTTATATCAGCAAGGGTTGTTGCTGTGCAAAAAATCTTCAAAAGATAATAAACCTATGTACCATTTTAAGAAATTTTTACGAGTAAGTTTTATTTTCTTGTAAAGTAAAAGTACTAATATAATGTATTTCTGTACATCGTTCTTTGATTTTATTTAGATGGGAAAAATTGGTTTGACTGAAACTGTCAAAGGAGATATGACCAAATTTGAAGTATGGTTAGAAGGTCGTCTGGAAGTTTATACGATTCAAGCATCGAATGTACAGCAAAAACAACAATGGGTATCTGAAATTAAGCGTGTGTTACTCGAGCAGCTAGCTGAATTAAAAGGTGAAAAAATCAAGCAATACATACATGCTTTTGGGAAGCACGTGTAAGTAAATCAACATTAGAAAACAAATTAAAATATATTGTTTGACGGTTGATTGTGTTGTTATGTTAGGAATTTAAGACACACTCATTCCTTGGATAACCAAAGTGATTCAAATTCCACCCGTGGAAGACGTCCACTTAGTCATCATGAAACGACTGATGATGATTCTTCTGATTATAGTTATACAGATGATGAGTCTCTTGATGAAACAATAAAACAAAAAGTAAGTTAAATAAAGTAGGTAACTAAAGATTTCCGAAATTAAATTTATTACAACTTTATTTGTTTTTACTTTTCTGTTACAATTGAGTAATTTCTTATACATTTTTAAAAATCTTTTAACAATTGAAGGGCACAGGGGAAAACGGTAGTAGTCACATTATGAAAATTTTAGAGTATAGCAAAAACAAAGTTCGTGAATTCCTCTACTTCTTACATAAGAACAAAAAAAATCATATTAAATGCTACTCTAATAATAAATGTATTTATTTAAACAATCTATTGACATAAATAAAATAAATTATTGGCATAAATTGAAAAAAAAATTTTCATAATGTGACTACTACTGTTTTTCCCCTGTGCCCTTCATATTAGTATTTAAAACTTTTAACCATAAAAACACTCTCTGCATATACGAATTTCGGCAATGCTTTCTCTTTTATACATTTCAACTTGATTATTTTAGTGAAAGGGGCAGAAATAATAAAATTGACTTCTTTAATCTATTATGGCTTATTGTAAACTAATATATAATTTTATTTTTTATTATTTATATAACTATAGTACAATTTTATTGGAATGATTTTTTATTAAGTATTTATATTATTTATAGGCTGATAGTTATATATCACTAGCTGACTACAATGCTCTTCGGCCAACAGACGCCACTCTGAAGAGAGGGGATAAAGTCGACTTATTAAAGGCTGGTTCAAGTAGTTGGTGGTATGTCAAAGTTCATGGTAAGGAAATTTATTTATTGGTATAAACTTTGTTTTTTAATTTTATTTAAATATTAGGAATATTAACAATAAATTTGAAAATTGTTTTAAAAATTTAGGCTCGAAAACTGAAGGTTGGGTTCCAGCAGCTCACTTAGAAATCAGTGGTCGTAAATCATCACATAGTTCCCAATCACTTTGTAGTCATGGATCAACATCAACTGATTAAAATAAGTTTATCATTTAAGAAATGGTGTGTATATATTTGTGATATTAAGTATTTAATTTTTTTTTAATTATTATTATTACTATATATATACAGTCTAATTTGATTTAATTTATTTTATTAAACTCCTACTATATATAACACGCATTAGATATTACGGTTCTATATATATTAGTTGATTATTATTATTATTATTATAGTAGCAAACAAGTTTACAAACTCAATACACAATATTATTAGCTTTTTTTTTTTTTATAATCAGAAAATGTTTGAGAGCTGTTGGTTTATTAACATAGTGATAATTGAGTTTTATTATTTCAATGCTTTTAATTGTTTAGTATATTCATAATATTTTTTCTAAAATATGCAAAGTACATATTTTTAGAGTATAATAATAAAAGTGATATATATTTTTAATACTTTATTGAACACTTAAAAATGATTATAAAATGATTTTCTAATTTAATTTGTATTCTATAATATACCGTACATACTTCTATTGTTTGTATAAATTAATAGCATTTATTGTTGCCATCAGCTCTTGGGCGATATCTCGTGTTAGTTCCTCCTGAATCCATGCGTAACTCTTAGACTAAATATTTTTAATATGTGTAAAACAATTATTATTAGGAATGTTTAATACTTTACATAGATTTATGTACCTATTTTATTATTGGAAAAAACTGTTTTGTTTAAAATTAATTGGGTTTTTAGAACCTAAGTTGGTGTAATTTATTTTTAAAAATATGTTCAAGATGCTATTTATATCTTATTTACTTAAAAGTTGTAACTAGTTTTATTTTTTTAAGTACGAGTTTTTGAAGTCAATACTTGTCTAGTCATAAATAATTCATACCTCGTATAACTGTTTAAACATACTCTTACTGATTTTGCACTTAATTTTAAACAGAATTTATAATTTTAATGATTAAAGATTTCATAAAATAACCTCATAATATTTACAACTGTTATTTAAGATTTGATTTTCAAATTTTAATAAGTTTAGTATACTCATATTTATTGTTGTGTACAATCATATACAATCCATCGTTCTTCTAATTGTTAATTGTTACTAGTCTTATTTATTATTTGGCTGGTCCCTCGAATGTAGTTTTATGTTAATTGTGTACTTTTTTAGTTTTTGTAACTCACTTAATTGTTAGTATTATTTATTTATTATTACTCATGTTTTGTATTTATTATTATTTTAGTTATTATTACTATTGCTATTATATACGCCTTGTGATTTTACAATTTTGAATTATAATTGTGACTCAATTAATCAAAATACTGTAATTCAATTTTATTTAACTGTTGAGAAAAAAGTATATAAAAAAAGGAAATATGTAAATTATATAAAGGACAAACAAACAATTTAAAAATATTTGGCAATTTTTTTTTGAAAGTTACTTATTATATACAAATATCATAGTAGTGAACTTATCATTAAAATGTTGATTAAGGTCCACTGCACACCAAGAGCAAAACTGTATATTTATAAATCTAATATACATTATATGACTAAAGCAGCCTTTTTTTGCTCTTTTAGTGTGCGGCGGGCCTAAGGCAAAAATAGTAAAGGGCAAATTTTGACATTTTCATGTCTTAGCTCTGGCACATAACCGAAAAAAGCGTTCGGTACAAAAGCGTTACAGGGGGTAGGAGATAGGGGTCGGGAGATATGTTGTATTTCCTATAAATTGTTTAAGGCCATATATTATGAAATCACTAAAATATAAGCCAGAAACTTGATATGTTTACTAGCCACCTTAGATACCAGCTTGTTAATATACTATTTCATTATCTATAATTCTACCACTCTAAATTTATTCGGTACTTCAAAGAGATATGAAAATGCGCTTTCGTGGTTGCAGACTCGGCTGAAAAACTTTAAGAGGATTTTACAACTTTTTAATTGAGTAGAAAATTTTTTACATAATCTTATTTTTAAGGGAAAACTGTTGTTTGTTTTCACAATAATGAGGATTATTTACTAATGGTTAATTTTATATTTGACTATCATAGCATCATTGAGAGGCCTATAGGTTATATTTAGTATTTACTAAGAATCCAAAAAATGCTAGAAAGAACCTTTATCTCCATTTTGAGTTGATTTTCTAAATAATTAAAACTTGGTCACTAAATAGACAATAGTAAATACAGTTTCGAAATCCGGCATAATTCTACCTTCAGCATTATTATACATTTCTTTAATTCTTTCGAATTGATAGTAGATACTAGATTTTATAATTCAAGTCTATGAAACGGATATGTAACAATATTTTTAGTTTGAAAATGAATAGGTAACCGCCCTGGCTAAAAACAATTTTACCTGTTAGTACCTGTGATCACTGATCTTGGCCGTTAATAAGTATAAAATTAATATATTTTAATTCTTGTTCCAAAAACTTCTATAATCTATATTTTTTCTTACTTTGATCATTGATTTTAATTGATTTAAAGCAACCTATCTGATTTATACCTGATAATTCTCAAGCCGTTTTTATTCAATGTTTTCCCAACTGATCCATAACATAAAACAAAGAATAATTAAAAAACAATAATATCCGTTGTTACATGCAAAAGTAAGTGCAAAAACATTTATTTTGTACATAATAGTATAAATTTATTATTTAATAAAATTTCTGGGTAATAATAATTTATTTGCAATACACGATAAATATAATATATTAAACGGTTTTTTATATTTTATACTTTTGGTAGTATGTAAAAACAATAAAAACAGTCAGTGAAAATTAAGTCGATAAAATAAATATAAAAATTGTAGTTATCACATTTTATAAATATTTGTACAGGTATATGTGAACAGTTCACCAGTTTCATTATCAAATAAAAATCAAAGCCAAATAATGGCACCTTTTTTTTTTTAGAGTCGAACATACAATTTTTTTTAGGAACCAAACCTTAACATTTGTAATTTTAAATGTGTTTATAAATCAGTGAGCAAATGTCCAATGGCTTCTTAAAAATTGATATTTCTTACTGTGAACAAACATACATTTAAGTACGAAAATATTTAAAAAAATTCAATTAAATGTGGACACTTGTATAAATATATAATAATTTATATATACAATAACAAATTTTCTTAAACGTATACCTACATTAATATAATTTACATTAACATTTAACATTTAACATTGGTCACAGATAGTTATAAATAAAAATGTATAGTAGTAAAAAAAATGACATCTATTATTAAACATCAACACTTTCAACTTAAGGTATAGCAACAAAGAATTCAGAACCTTGAAATAAGATATATTTTTGAGGGAGTAATAATATATTATGTATATTTTTTATCTGGCTGCTGGTTAACTACATGAGAATTGTCCAATAATAGCGTACGTCCACATACCGGTTACTATCATTTCAATAAAAATAATTATTTGTTAACAAGGTTTCTGTTAATGAGAATATACATTAATTTTTTTGTTGTACATAAAATATTAAACGTGTATTATAATAATATTAAATTCGAAATAATATAAAATTAACAGTATAAAAATTATTATTAAATATATTATAATAAATAAAAACATTTTTACAATCGATAATTACAGATGATACGTTCCAGCAGTAATCATCCACAAAACGTCAAGAACAAAAAGTCATTAACCGTGTAGTTATGAGTCGTTTAGTTTAACAGAACCGCAAATATGTTTAAACATTAGTGAAGTTTTTAATGCAAGGTCTCTGAGCTTTTGGCGTTTCGGCCATTTTCACGATTACTTTGGTTGGCCTGTCCTGGCTGTTGGGTGAAGTCCTCGACAGTTCCTCGCGGTTGTTCGGTGCGTCCACTGAGCTGTTTAGCAAACCACTTGTCGCATGACCATTTGCTGTTGGCGATTTCCGAGATGGTTGCACATCTTCGCTAATACTGTAGTCCTCATCGTCGCTGTCGTGGTCTTCTAGCAAGTTGTCTTCCACCGAACCCGTAGGGGTGTCGTCGTGATGGTGGTTGCAATCTTCCGTGTCGGCTGGCATGTACTTGATGTCTTTGAGCTCCACGTTTTTCTCGTTTGTTATCGGACCGTGGTTTCTCTTGTGACCCGAGCACACGGCTTTGTAGATAATGGCGATGATCACGATCGCTAGTACGGCAGCGGTAGCCGTTATTCCCGTGTTCGATTTTAAATACTCGGTGATTTTGGTCGGCACCTTTTTTTCGTCTTCCGGCGCTTGTATCGTTTGCGGAACAATACCGTTATTGGAACTCGAATTGTTCGTTTCCGGAGTAGACGAATGAGATTTGGTGGCAGTCTCGACCGGCTTGGTCGTTGAATGAGATTCGGTAACAGTGTCTACTGGTGGCTTATTGGACTTATCAGTAGTTATCTGGTCTTCTGCCGCCGTGGGTTCAACAGGTAGAGATAATTCCACTTTCGGAACGACCGGCGTCTCTGGTTCATTATGCGTTTCGCTGATGTGCTGTAAGGTTATGGGATTTTCTGTCACTGGAATTAAGGCGGCTGTCTCGTTACTGTCAATTGTATTTTGGATGTCAGTTTGGTTTTCGGATAAAGCAGTCTGCACTGTCAGAACCTGTGTTTTGTTCGGAGTCGCCTCGCTGACTTCGGGCACGGCAGCTTGAGTGGTCAGTATAGGTGATTGGGTTGGTTTGTTTACAAAATCGTTTTCTCCGTCTCCGCTACCCGATCCAGAACCCGAATCGATGAAATCGTCGTGTTCTTGTAATGTGCTGTTGTCGATTTTCAATAAATTATCGGCTTTGTAGATATCTGCTTCGGCGTCGTCTCCCATCATGTCTTTATCTGAACACGCTTCGATCATATCATTCAGCGATCTTCCAGTGTTTACACAATTAATCGTATTACCGAGCGCCACACCTTTAGCCGCGAGTATCCGGTCTTTGTCCACCAGTTCACAGGTACAGTTTATTGGATTGCCCGTGAGATCAATCGTTCTTAGCCGCTTGTACGATTCTAGATCTTCTTCAACGTCGGTGATGTGGTTATGAGCGAGATTCACGTATTTAAGACTAGAAGGCCCAAATTGAAATCCTAGGCTTCTTAATTCGTTTTTACTCGCGAACAAGTACTTTAAATTAGGTAAACCATTAAAGTATACGCTTTTTAACGTTTTCAATCCGCATTCCGATATGTCCAGCTCGGTTATCGAGTTGGAAATCAAAAATGAAGGTCCAATAATGACACCGTGGTTCTTCTTCAAAGACAGAAACGCTAGTTTAGAGTTTCCAGCAAACGTGTTGCGGTCTAATTTCCTAATATTAGTGTTAATTAGGTTAAGTTCCACCAATTCGGGTAAACCGTCAAACGCCAAACTTCCCACGTATCCAATTTTGTGTCCTGTGATGTCTAGAAAAGTGAGTCGAGGAAAGGGTTTAAATATTCTGTCTTTTAACATTATTGGCGAGGTGCGGCCAGCTTTGAAGTGTATTCGAAGAACTTTTTGTGGCCATTCATTTCCAGAGGATTCAACTGCTGTTGGTATGTCAGTACAATTGACCGCCGATATACCGTGGACGGTAGTGAAACACTTACATCTGTTTGGACATGAAGTGGATGCTACACTCATACCAGTCAAAACGCACAGGAACATAAGTACTTGCATGATTGATGATACCATTACTGCATTTCTTTCTGTAAAATTAATTTATAATTAGTCAATACAAAAAACGATTATTTTTAAAATTTTTCTTATTAAAAATAACAATGTTCATTATAGGTGTCTAAATGCCATGGAATACTTAGAAAAACAATGTATAGTAATTAATACATTTCTAGGTCCTTGGCTTTCTCCAATAATTCCACTCGAACGTTATAATTTCTACTTATTAGGGAGTTCAGTTTACGTAATTTTGTGCAAAATCTTAATTTAAGCTTACGGGATATCTATGCTAGATTTATTAATGAGCGTTATTTAAGAGATTTTTGAATAAAACATTAAGCTAAAGTTTTTAAGCTCATATATTAAAATAGCAAAGATCCATTTTTTTTTTATATTTAATTTTTTGTCCAACTTGTATAGTGCATACAGGCTCTATTTTTGTACCAAAACATATGTTTCTATTTGTAACAGTACACCTATATTTACAATTAAAAGATGATGATACGTTGTCATACCAATGTTTTAATAAGTTAAGTATTTCATATAATTTAACTATTTGACAGTATGTTCGTACAAATGATTAAATCATAAGAGATAATGAACCCTTACTACAAGTATACATAATGGTAACGGCAAACACAAATTGTTGACCGTTTTACTAATATAGAATTAATATGAAATAAAAGAACGCCGTTTATTTATATATACCTATCACCGTATCAGATAGAATATTATGGTAAATTATTAAGGTAATATTATATATTAAATGATTTTAAGAAGGGTGTAAACTGTAAAGTATATTATTGTAAATATGATAACCAGGTATATTAATGCATTTGAATTCAGAATTATGCTAATTTATAACAGGTGGTGCGAGTTGCCACTCGGTCATAACTCATAAGGGTAAATTATTTTTTATCATTCTTTCTTCAAAATAAAACGCATTCATAAAGTCACCATTTCGAATGCGCTATAATATTGAAATATTTTATAATAATTCTTACTTCATGTATAGTAAACATTTCATATTATAATACTTGTATTGTATTCGATATTAATCTTTCGGCATCATAATATCGAACCCAACACGAGTTCGACATACCTCTTTCAAAGTACGTTTATATTGTTGGTTAACCAGTAAGATCACTGAAAACCAGCTATTAGTCGTTGAATAAGGTACGAGTTATCCGGCTTTTAGGAAGGTTGCGCAGCTCTTTCTAAAAATCACTTATTTTTTAGATCGGAAAAAAAGAAAACTTAACATTTTTCGATGACTTACAATGCAATTGTGTGCAAATCGCGCATCCTATTTTGGAAGTAGGAAAGTGAACCGGTTTTAATGGGTACAAAAAACTGAATTTGACAGATTTGCATTTGATAAGCTAAAAAAAAACCATCGGCCAGACAAATAGGTCACAATTTTTTTTCTGTTACATATACATGTGTATATGGTGTGTCGTCTAATCCTAATTATATGTTTAAAAATGACGATGACAAAATTAAATTGCCTCGACTCTACCTGCGGGTTTCAACATCTTACAGACACGTGTCAAATTTCGTCGACGTTTCGAAAAAAGAATCCGACTGAATATTAATTATTAACCCAAATCAAACAAAGCATTTACATTATAAAAAAAAAAATAACACAAACGCCTAACAATTTATCATGTTTATTTTTTTATACGAGAAAATGTACTCCCAGGATAATGGTTTTCTACAGCCGTATGATATTGTAAAAAAATATAAAACTTTTTTGTCGGTATCGGACAATGAATACAATTTTGTACAGTATAATATCTACCATATTATAATACCCAAGTAAATGAGATGTATAATCCTTTTTTTTCCATTGAAATAGCTATAGCCCAAAAGCCATATCCGATTCCTCTTTGTTGTTTCGACTTAAACTTGCTGATATCGTTTTAGGGATTAAGTCAGGTCAAAGAATAATGTATTTGTTGTATCCATCGTTATAACATTTTATTGTCGTACGGCGTACCGAGTATGTACGAGTAAAAGAGAAAATGTAATAATAGGTGCAAAATGATTGCGCTTGTATCTAAACATCGTTATCTAAATGTATTGTGTTTAGTTTTTATCAATAATCGCCTATAATAACGAGCCATGTGAAAATAATATCGACTAAGCAATTTGTGCATAGTGTCAACCGTGTAGCATTTATTTTTTCACAGGACAGAAAATTACTATTACTCTGATTACGTTTCTGTAGGTATTCGTTTTATACCAACCGCATACTTCCGGCAACGGGTCGACATGATAGTTACACGGTATGTGACTTTATACTTTTTTTAGAAATTAAAACAACATTATATATTCTTTAATGTATACATCTGCCATCAATACTTGTCAATGGAAATCAAACGTTTTGATGACATTGCATTGATGGTGTATAGTGTAAATGTATGATGTTTTGAGTACTAAACCATTTTAAGTAGGCGAGATAACTTATTTAACGACTTGTTATTATTGAACATTTATCAGAAACAACATATTAATTAGGGGTTCACATTAAAATGGTATCTATTAAATGATAGCGTTAGATGAAGTTTGTAGATTTTAGAATTGGTTTTAACTATTAAAATTGTATGTTAAAATACAGTGATATAGTATAATATATAGAAATAATAGAGTGATAATAGTAAATAGATGTGATAGATTAAAGTTAATTTACTTTGTAATATCATCATAATAGGTTAGTAATTATTATTGTAGTAACTAGTATAAATTATCGCACAATTTGTTTACGTTCAAGGGTGTTAGGTTTATTGTTGTGCTGCAGACTGAATCCGTGAAAACACACTTGCTTATAATACAGGGTGATTCTTTTATCATAGGCCACTCAATATCTCACTGGGTTTAATTAATAATTACATTTTTCTTTTCATAGTGTTTTTATATAATGTGATCTCAATACATCAATACAATTTTTTACAAAATATTATGTTTCTACCCCCCTCCCAAACTAGTTTTTTTTGATAGCAAATTTGGAAACTTAATAGTAACGTACATATTTTTTAAACTTTTAAATAAAAAATGTTTTACTAAACATTTTGTCTGGTTGATGACCAGTTTTGGGTAATTGTTTTTGAAGTTATTGAAATTTCAAGTTTAAGGCAGGAAGAAAGGTGGAGTGTAGTATTATTTTTATCTGCGCGCGCTTCCTTTCCCGTCCTATTTTTTAAACTTTTATAACTTTAAAAATAATAATTCAAAACTAATTATCAACCAATCAACATTTTTAGTGAAATATTCCTAATTTAAAAAGTTTAAAAAATATGTACGTTACCGTTTAAGTTTCAAAAGTTGCTATCAAAAAAAGATAAAAGAATCACTCTGTATAGGTAGGTACTTACATTGATAAGACTGTATTTATCGTTATCACGTATTGTTATTATTTAAATTCATAACTCGTAAGTTATGTTTAAAAACTTACACATGGATATTTAATAAAAAATGTATATTATATTAATTAATTTTCCTTAAAATGTCTATGCGGTTCGGACGAAAATAACTATAAATACCGTTGTTCGTTTGTAACCTCATTTTAACTCGTCGCGAAAATAATAATTCATTATGCAACTTCCGTTCACGTACACTCTACGTGGTTTTATGGATCTAAATTAACGACAGTGGGTATATTTTTGAATTGTCTATTAACATACGGTACAGATTTAAACAAGTTTGCTCGCACATAATATTTCCCTCTAAGATAATAATTAATATATCAACAAGGTATAATACATAATAATCTATCACAACCTAAATATAATATTTCGACTATAAAGGTAAATCTCAATAAATCAACGGTAAATCTATCCATGATTTTGACCATAGAAGTAAAATAAATGGTAAACTTCTCTTCATATAATGTGGATAAGATAGTAAAGCAAGTTGCAACCATGACTAGATTTAACTGATTTTTCCTCTTGTTTATCAATGCCTGTCCGCCATACTTTTAAACGAAATCGTTGTTTCATTGATATAACCTGGATGACGATTATAGGCTAACTGTAATTCTATAATTCTCAATGTTAATGGTATACTACAATCCTAGCCCCTAGATCCTCCTAACAAAATATTTCCTACATACATACTTCAGATTGAATTACTTTATATGTTTTATCAAGACACAAAGGTTAATTGTATTATTCCACGGGAGCAGCATAAATAATTACTGCCCGAAGAGCATTGGTCCCAGGGCTTAAAACAAAAAATCACGAAATAAAAATTCAGTTGCTTTAAAACATTGCGAATCGCTAAAAAATCATATTAACGACCACATTTTAATTCGCATTAAAAATATAAATAGGTAGTGAATGTAATTTTTTCGACGATATTTTAAATGTTTTGTACAACAAAATTTTTATATTATGGTTCCATATCAAAAAAAAAACAGCCACGGGACGGCTGACGGCTCCGGTTGTCTTTTTTAAAGATAAAAAACTAACCGAAACGTAATAGTAGGGTATCAAATTTTCTCGATCGGGAGTCTGTATGGTAAAATTATGGCTTGTTTAAAAAAATTGGCCGAGTTTGTATTTTTCTTAACTTTAAAGACATCAAGTTTCCGAGAAATCGGTGCTCTTCCAGTATAGTTACTTAGGTCGGCGCTGTTTCGTGTTTGTAAACAACCGAGGCCGGCGATCCACCGCGGAACACACGGCGCTTACCGCAATAATTATTAGTCGTGTTCGAGTTGTGAAAGTCATCTTTTGTATCGTTTCCAACCTATCTGTTGTCTGGAAACTAAATTTGACGTCCGGTGATAGATACCGGTATGCTCACCAGTCGGCAGTCGCGTACTATGTACTATAGGTAGCGGTTGGGACCCGTCCGACTGGTCGACGGCAAGTATCCAAATTGGGGTTTACTTACATGGAAGACACAGCGCTGAAGCGCACATGGGTCTTTTTCCGCCACGTTTACCCGTCCGTGATGTTTACTTATCGTAACAGACGGGCATTTTACGACGTAACGTTCCATCGAAAAAATGTATGGTATTCATCTCCCG